GCCAGGTTTCTCCCCAAGAAGTCATTGCTTTCTCCTTGGTAATGAGTCAGTATTTGCTGGAAGATGCTCAGACCACACCACTGACTTACTTCTTTATGCTTCAGTACCCTCTGTTGGCTCCATGGTGAAGTTTCTTAAACAGAGAAACATTTTTTTGGGTCTCTTTTCATTGTTATTCCTAGATATTCTATTTGACGCTTTACTGTAAAGAGGTGCTTTCCCTTCTCCTCCATTTATTCATTTGTTCATGTCTTTATATTTAATAGGCTCATGAAATAATAATTCAGTGGGTTAAAAAACCCATCACTGTATTACTCTTATTAATTTTTTTTGAGATTAGAATACTCCAGCTGTGGCCAGTGGCGGCCCCTTTGGAGTGGTTTGTGTGTCCTTTTGACACGACCCTTCCCAGGAGACTGTGTGTATAGTTGTACATGCATGTATGCACACACGTGCTCCTCTGTATCTAGCTACTCTGTATTTATCTGATACCTGTCATCAAAGCCAGCTCTTTCAGCTGATTACTTTTGTACGTGGAAGTCCTTCTCTGACTGTGAGAACCTGGCTCCTGTTATCTTTGATATGGTTACTGTTATTGTTTTGGCCACTTTTCTCTGCAAGTATTGATTTCCTGAAGACCCTGATCTTCTCTCTCTGCCACCACCTCTTCTGCCTCTTCCTTTCTACCCCTGAGCTTCATCTTCTAAGGAAAGGGAAAGAAAGTGGAGGCGCCATGTGGCTTTCCACCCAAACCATCAGGGAGAGAGTGAAGGAGAAGCTTGTTTTGTTTGTGGTGCTGGGAATGGAACCCAGGACCTCTTGCATGCCAGGCACATTTTCTAACTGGGCTCCACCCTGAGCCTGAGAAACTATTTTTTCTGGAAAGCTCTTTGTACACATAGCCTATCGAAGCTCTTCATTTGCTTCAGCTATTCACAGAACCTTCCCACAGTGCTCTGGCGTGGAAGAAGCCTGTGTTTCTATGGCAGTTTATTTCTCTGTTACCACCTGCTGTGGTCTGAATGTTTGTGTTCCCTACAAATTCGTATGTTGAAACCCTAACTCCTAAGATGACTGGTGTTAGGATGGGAGACCTTTGGAACGTGATCAGGCAGTGGGTGGAACTCTGAAAAACAGGATCAGTGCCATAAAAAAGGCACCTTCCACCGGGAGAGGACTAGGGAGCAAGTGCTACCTGTGAGCCAGAAGCTGACCCTCACCAGACACCCAAATGTGCTGGGACCTTGATCTTGGACTTCTCAGCCTCCAGGGAAATAAATGGCTGTTCTTTGTAACTCACTCAGTCTCTGAGATTTTGTTGTAGTAACCCTAATGGACTAAGATACCACCCTTCACAGTCTTCCTTTAGACCTTGAGCTTGCCTTGCTCATGTTATCCTGTGAGGCCTAGAGAGTGTGCTCCTGTGTAATTCATGTGTAGAACCAAAGGTATTGCCTTTAGACTGGAACTTGAATGTCTTCCTCTGAATCAGAGCCCTCTTTGCCTGGGTTTCTGAAGCGATGACTCATGGCTATGTGCAGAAGCACTTGTTGATATAAGCTTCCCTCCCTGACATTCCAGTCGAGAATCAACCCTTTGCTGGCCTGACCAAGTTTAGAGTGGGCTGGCCTGGCAGCTGGCAGCAGCAGCTGGTGGTTGAAATCTCTGCCTGATATTTTTTTCCCTCTGAATGTCAGTCACTCTAGGTCTGTGCCATCATTAATAGAATTTAGAAGCCTTTTATAGCCTCTGCCAGTTGGTCTGAGAAGAGCTGTTTTAGAAGAGTCCTTCCATTTTCCCCATCCTTAGAGATCTGAAACATAATAGGATCACTAGAAAATAGGTCAGAAAAGTCTTAAGACAGAGCTGATGGCTCAATGTGAATGTGACATATTTAAATATGTTCTATATACTTAGCAATTCCTTCTAGTTCAACTTTGTATAGGATATACGAACATATATGTGTATTTTAAAATTGTAATTATTTATGGGAAGTTGATAGACCTTTAATCAAAGCTTATTAACCCTTGATGGATGTGGTATTCTTAGACTGTGGTGTAGCAGGAGCAGAAGTAGAAGGCATAGGCAGCAAGAAGGGGGACATGAGTTGATAAGCACAAGGCGCAGCTGACAGCCCAAGTGTGAGGGACAAGACTGACCCAGAGTCCTTGGTGATCACATCGCTCGGTGCCTTCACTTTTATGAATGGCAAAGCTGAAGCTGAAAAGTCACCTGGATGAGATCCCAAGCTGGGGCTGGGCTGGAATCAGCTCACGTACAATTGCTTCGTGTACAATTTTTTTTCGATACTATGTCATACTTCCTCTTATGGTCAGGATGTCAATCAAATGTCACTGAGAAACTGTTTAATTATGTACAAGAATCCCCATTAAAAAAATAATATGCTTTGGAAAATAACTCCACCCCATAGAATATGTTGGCTGGTGTTTTGCCTTCCAAAAAAAATTCTCTATTGAGACCTTCATTTTCCTCAGCGATTCCCAGTAAATGAGGTGTGGGTGTGTTCCTGCCTTGGAATAAGACTGGCAGAGGCAGCCGTCACGTGACAGCACAAGTACAGAGGGGAGGAAAGACTCCATTATGTTGGTTGTCTCTACCTGGTAAGGCTTTCACTGACTGATGAGTTGAAGTTGTTCCTGACCCTTAAACTTTTTCTTAAATAGGTTTTCTTATTGTGATTGTAAAGATAGTTCCTCGTAACACTTTTGTATATTTCCTCTATTTCTTGTTGGCTCATTTAATCTGTTGCTTGATTTCTGTGTCTGTGTATTTATAGAAACATATATTGATACACATAGGCATAACATCTGAGCTTGCTGCCAATGGTTTACCCCATTTCCAGCTAATAATGAACATGTTTACAACTAGATTCATAAAGATCTACCTTCCTTTTTGAAAACTGTTGCAAACAAATCTGTTCTCTGGCTGTGTCTCATTTAACCACCTGTCCCCTCCTGCTGGACATCTTGGTTGCCTCCACCCTTTATCAGCTCCTTAAAATAAACTCTTGAAAGTACAGGGCTGTGTCAGAGGAAATGAAGTCTCTGTCTTTCAAGTTGTGTTGCCAAAATTCCTGAGTTGTTTTTCCACTCTGACTTTCTGATGTTGGAAAGTCGATTTTGCCTGAGTTTAGAATTCTCCGAATTGTGATCCACCAAAGGCATCTGGAGTCCTTGCCGTCCCCCCTTCTCCAGTCTGGCCTCTTCCTTCATTTGTCCTTGCACTGATTTCTGACTGCTTGGGTGTGGCCCCAGGGTTCCAGATCTGATCCTGTGGGGCCGAGAATGGGATGGGAACCATGAAGAATCAGAGGTGTGTGGGTCCCAGACTGGGCTAGTTTAGTCCTATTTAGAGTACAGTTTGGGGAAATTACCGTGCACATCTCATTTTCATTCATCTCTATGCCAAGAGCAGCTGTTTGTGTCTGAACATTTGCTAGAAGCTTTGGGCTGATCCTTCGGCTTTTGACCAAGTCCCAGTTCCTCCACCCGGTCCTGTGATCTGGCTCCTGTCCACCTCTCCTCTTTGTTGTCCTCCTTTCCTTATCTGCACTTTAATTATGCTGACCTTTTGATACTCTTGCATAATGCCAAGCTCCTTCCTGATCAGGGCTTTCAAACACATTGTGGCTCCTAGTGATGACTAATGTAGCTTCTGGAAACAGGCTTGGGTTTGTATCCTCATTCTTCCATTCAGCAGCTATACTGTGCTTCTCTGTACCTTGGTTAGCGAGGATGATAATAGTTTCCATTGCATAGGATTATTTGAGGACCTAATATCATATGTATATATAAATAAGCTCAGAATATATCCTTGCATACAATAAGTGTCAATAAACACCTGCCATCCCCGACCTGGCCAGCTAACTTCTGCTTACTCCCCACTTACAAGGAAGTTTTCTTTGACCCTAACTCTGCACCAGGAACTCCTGGTTTATGCTGTCATGGCCGTGTTAAGTTATTACCATTGTTGCCAAATAAGCATTTAAAAAAAAATCTGCCTCTTGCCTGAGACTACAGGCTCCATGAGGGCCCACCTCTCTTTTGCTCATAATATAGAACAAGTATTCAGTAAATGCCCAGGCTCAAGGAATGAAGACCATGATCTCATTACTTATGGCTACCGCAGAGTTGCCACAGTGACCATCAGAAAGAAAGTTATGCCTGTGTCGTGTCGCTTTTGGAAACTGCCTGCCCTTGAGAATTTTCCAGGACAGGTTTTCTCTATCAGTGAAAGACCAATGCAGTCTTTAAAGTTCTGACTTGTTGGATATCAAAACATTTGAGGGCTGGAGATTTAGCTCAGTGGTGAAAGGTCCCAAGTTTGATTGCCAGTACAAAGAAAAAAAGAAATTGAAAATACAATCAGACTAGGAAAAATGAAACAAAACTTGAGTCCAGGATTTCTTGACACTGACACTGTTGACGTCTGGGGCAAATAGTCCTTCGCCACAGGGGATGTTGTGTGTACTGTAGGACATTAACAGCGGCCTTGGCCTCAGCCCTCCCCCCCAACCCTGGATGTGACAGCCAAAAATGGCTCCAGGCCCTGCTAGTGTCCCTGATTGAGAGCCACTGAAGATGTGTAAAACACAAGCTCTGACTTTTTGTTTTTAGATCCAACAGATATAGCATTCTCTCAGATTACTATAAAGGTTTCTAAACTCTTCTCCTGGTATCTGTACTTAATTGGTCACGGGCCAGTGAAAGACTTCTGGACTGGCATCATCTGTGGTCCCTGATGTGACCCTCACAGATACTTTCATCAAGAAAGGGAAACTGAGGTCCTGCTGAGGGCTAGATAAAATGTACTGTTAAAACACAGTTGCAGGGCCGGGAATTTAGCTCAGTGGTTCCACTGCCTGCCTTGCAAGCCCAAGGTCCAGAGTTTGATCCCCGGTTCCTCCTTCCCCCCAAGAAAACACGGTTGCAGCTTCTAGGGACATTTCTGAACATCCGGTTTTTAATTCTCCTCTTCAGCTCACCTGATGATGATGTCATCCAGCCGGCTGCCCCTACAGACGTGGAAAACCCACCCTTAGCTACCTCCTCCCGTCACAGTGATGCTGTTGGCCAGGTCCTGACGCATCTGACAGCCCAGAGGTACATGGGGGCTGGGGCTGGTGGTGCTCCAGGGCCCAGTCCCTGAAGCTGTTCTCTTCCCTCACCTCTTCTCATTCGGTTTTTCTCCCACTCCCACACAAGGTCTGCGCTCTGTTCCCCGCAGATGTGTGCCAGGGCTCAGCCTCTTTTTGTGGCCTGAGGAATGATCTGCAGTGTCACAGGACAGGACCTCCCCTCCTTCCCACAGGGCCATGTTAGAGATTTGTTCCCTTGAGATCTATAAACAGGAATTCTCCAGGACAAATTGTGTGTTTCTGTTGTTTTAGCGATGGTTTAGTGAGCTACCTGATGGCCTCTTGGGACACGAGCTGGGTGAGCTGCTTGTTCTCATTGGGCTTTCAGTGGGAGTCAGAGGAAAGGGGAGTCAGCAGTGCACCAGTAAGAGATCCAGGTTGCAAGACTGTGGCAGGCACAGAGGCCTGAAGCCCCCATCCTCCTTCAGGGTCTCCTCCTTCCCCTAGCTTTACTTCCCTTGTCCCTCACAGCACGGCAACCCCATGCTGATCATGGATCTTCATCAGCACTGTACTGGGTCTGGATTCGGCATCATCTCTTCCTCTACATGCAGTGTTTGCACTTAGACCAGGCTTGCTGAGAATCGGCTCAGGAGCCTGTACACAGGGGAAGGTCACACTGGAATGTTTAAATTAAACTTATTACAGTAAAGAGCACATTGCCACTAATCTTCCCCAAAATATCCGCCCCCCATTATAGGCTCCATGAGAGCCCGCCTCTCTCTTGCTTATAATATCAGATAGGTTTTCAGCAAACGCAGTAAATGAATGTGCCTACGAGGTGTGATACAGTGCATGCTGCTGCTGAGTGCCTTCCAATAGAAAGGCAGGCTCATTAAAACATTATAATGTGTCCTCATCCGCCTTATTTACTGAATTTGGTAGCATGCGACTTGTGGCTCCTTGTCAGGGTCAAAATGACTATGAAAGGTAAGCATTTTGAGTCAATTCAAGAATCATAGAAGCCACAACAGTACCGCTAATAACATTCACGAAAAAAATACTTCCAGAACTGCTTCAGAAAGTGGCAAGAACAAAGCTAGGGGAAGTACTTTGAGGGGAATTAATAAGAGTGTATCTTTTATTGTTAAAAAGAAGACTCATAAAGGGCTGGGGATTTAGCTCAGTGGCACTATGCCTGCCTTGCAAGGAAAAAAAAAAGGATTCGCCATATATTTTGATCACACGGCCTGCATGCGTGCACGCGCACACACACACACACCTATCTCTCTATACAGACACATCCAGCTCATGTTTGTGTCTGCATGTGGGTCTTTCTCTGTATGTACATGTACCTATATAATTTATACTGATGCCAGTGAAATTGGCTGCATTTTGCCAGATCTCACACGGCACTGGGGAAGCCCTGTTGAGCAGGACAGATGCTGTCCCCTCCTTTCTGAAGCACCCCCTTCCTCCAGGAGTCTCCCCAGCTGAGAGGAGCCTCTGTCTGAGCTTTGTAGCTGTCCATGCCCCGGTGTCACTGCCCTTCCCAGACACCTTTAAATTACTTGCATCCAACTCCGTCTCCTCTGCTGGATTGAGAGCTTCTCAGGGGGAGGAACTGATCCCCTGTGACCTCTGTTACTTCAGCATCCAGCCTGGCCAGAAGCCGGGGAATGTTGTAACTTGAAGTGGATTAGAGGGGAGCCTGGGAGGGCCTCCTTGTTTGGCTGCCTGGAGCAGGTGTGTGCTGACCCTCACCCTAGCTGTCTCTATCCATGCTCATGGGTAGCGGCGACAGGCAGGTTGCCAGCAGCAAGGAGAGGCCTCTTTGTGCCCTGGGAGAAGGGAAATATGAGGGGCAGTAGACATGACAGGAAGCTGCTGGCCAGCAACAGAAATCCCAAGGCAGCTGCGCATTTACTTGGAATTCTGAATGTTCTCTTCACAGGTGGGAGTCAGCCATAGTATGAGATTAACTGTTTTTGTGTTTTAATGGTGCTTGGGATGGAACCCACGGCCCTGCGCATGCTAGGCAAGCTTTCTACCTTTGAGCTACATCCCTAGCTCTTTAAAAAACTTCTGTTGTAAGACGGTCTCACTAAGTTGCCCAGGTTGGGCTCAAACTTGCTATTCTTATGCCTCAGCCCACCACTGTGCTGGGAAAACAGGCATATGCCACCACGGCTGGCTTGAATTTGACTTTTTATAAAATTGTGTTGGCCTAGGGATTTAGCTCAGTGGTGCCACCACCTGCCTCACAAGCTCAAGGTCCTGAGTTCAATCCCCAGTACCAAAAATACCACAACCAAAACAAAAAACTGTGGCCAGTAACTAAGGCTTACAGCACTCAAAGATTACGTAGAAGTTTCCAGTGAGAAGTTGAGTAGTACTCTCTTCGTTACCTTTTTCTCACCTCTTCCTCCTCCATGGTGCTCCCATTTGGTTCCCTGACATCCAAGGTTTTAGGGAGGCCCTGAGCCCTGAGGCTGAAGGTGCCCTCCCTTAGTCAGCTGGAAAGTGAGATGCATTCACCTCCTCCAGTGCAGCCATCTTAGTTGGGCTACTTCAGTCAGGGGCACAGAGGGGTACAGGGATTCCCTGAGAAAGGATGGAGGACCCGGTGGGATGGCTCTCCTGAGCCACTGTCCAGCTGGGACAGTGACGGTGCTTCTGAAGTCCCTTCCCTATTCGGGTCTGTTTGAAGTGACTTGTTCTGTTTTCATTTTGCCTAGACACTTCTTACATGCAGTAGACCACCTGGAGTGTCTCAGCAGATCCTCACAATGGCCCGTAGAAGGTGGGAGCGTTTCCCGGGTGCGTAGACTGAGCCAGTCTTGTCCTGAACCTCTCCCCTGGCAGAAGCTGAGTCCCCATGGCTCTGACCAAGAGTGACCACAAAAGAAAGGTTGGGCAGTGAAGCATAGAAGCTCTTGGTGCTGAGAACCTGGCCACCCGCCTCCCTTCCAATCACATCTCTCAGTGGAAAGATGCGGGTAGGAACCTAGGCTGGAAGAAGGCACGACTGGTATCAGGAGATAAAGGTCAGAAACCAGCGACGTCCTTGACTAAAGAACGAGTGGTTTGGGTGCCTGGCTAGTGTTGCTGTTCTCCAGAGTTGTACAAGTATCGTCACTGTTCTTAATGGCTTGCTGGGAAAGGGGCTGCGATTGGAGGGGGATCGGCTGGTTTGTCTTTGGTCACCCCAGCTCACCACAAACTGCAGTTGATCCTCATTATTCTCTGACTCTATACTTGTGAATTTGTCTACTCCTTGGCGTTATTCATAACCCTAGAGACAATACTTGTCGCTCTTCCTTGGTCCTTTGCAGACATGTTGCAGAGCAGTGAAAACTTGGAGAATCACCGGACACAGACATTCTCAGCTGACGTAGAACAAGATGACACTTGTCCTTTTTTTTTAAAGACAGAGTCTCACTATGTAGTTCAGGCTGGTGTGCAACTCATTATGTAGCCCAGGCTGGCCTCAAGCTCACAGTGATTCTCCTGCCTCAGCCTCCTGATTGCTAGGATTACAGGTATGTACTGCCATGCCTGGACTTAACACTGCCTTCTTGATGTTTCAACTTTCATACTGTGAGCAAGTGTCATTTTCATGGTATATTTGATACCTTCTGGTGCTTCTGTTGTTGATTTTGCTCTCTAAGATGATTCCCATGGAGAGTGACGAGGTGTTCTTTTGGGTAAAAGCAGACTTGAGTGTGCTGGAAGTTAGAGCAGCGTGGCTGTGGTGTGAGTCACAGTGCACGGGCAAGAGTCTAGTGCTAGTGAGCGACTTCTGTATGAAGTAGGATGCCTTTAGACAGAACCGTATGTGCCCAGGAGGTTATGTTTTGATTGATTCACTGATGGCAGTGTGGCGCCCAGAGGCTCATGGGAACCTGACCCATCTTGTCCCTGGGAACAGCGGTTCATCATGGTCTGGTGCACTGTGTGCAGACTTTATGGACATTACTGTTAGCAGCAAGCAGCAACTGGATATAACAGACAAATTGTTGGAGCAGCTCAGAGGAGAATTCTTAGTTAAGAAAGTGTGCTGTGCTGACTTCACACCTCAGGATTGGCTCTGCCTCTCCACTCCACCAAAGGATCTTTCTTCCCCTCCCTACTAAGAGTAGAACAGAGAGGGTGAGGTAGGGAGGGAAGGGGAGGAAAGCTGGGCTGTCCTTGTGGGAGGTTTGCTTCCCTTCAGAAGCAGGTTGGTACTTCAGCTTTTGTTTTTGGTACCAGGAATCGGACTTAGGACCTGGCACTTGCCAGGCAGGCTAAAATGTTGCTTAAATTAAAAATCGTAATGCATTTATTAAAATTTAATTATTTAAAAAAGGAAAAAAGGGGAAGCTGGCATGGTGATGCATGCCTGTAATCCCAGCAGAGGAAGAAAGATTGCAAGTTTGAGCCCACCCTGCACAACTTAGCAACTTAGTGAGACCCTGTCTCAAAATTGAAAAAAGAACAAGAAAGGCAGGGGAAAGGCCTGGGGTTCAATCCCTGGTACTGCAAGAAAGATGTTGGGGTGGGGAGGGGAAGCAGGACCTTTTGCTAGGAGAACAGAGAGTAGATCTTTCTCGTAACCTTCTCTACCCTGCCAATTCTTTTGATACCAGACTCTTAAATTTCTAGTCTTCTTTCTGAATAGTGAAAAGGGGAGATGATACTCTGCCTAAAGTGTTTTCTCAGATGAAAGGACAGGGATTTTGACACCCCTTCTCTGTTACCAAAGCTCCTGGAGGAGTCTTGTGTGCTCCCGTCTCCAGGAAGGGCCCGCGGAGCTGCTTGGGGAGGGAGGTTGGATGTTTCCATCTTGCTTATGGCATCCCTGTTAACCCAGAAACCCGGGACCAGATCTTCTAGAATGTTCTCCCAGTGAGTAGATTGCCTCTGGTCATTTGTTTTCTCATCTCTTCTGTATTTGAATTAAAAACAACAATAAAAAAAAAAAATCCAGAATGGTTTTCCATGTGTAGCCGTCCAGCTGTACCATATGCATCAGACAGAGAG